TCGCCGGACCTTCAACAGACACCGGTCACCTTCACCTCAATGCCGTTCCCTTTCCCCTATGCTACGTCGACCTCGCCCTGTCCCTGAGGAAAACTAGAAGCCGCAGTTCCGGGGGCAAGAACTGCGGATCTTTCGAACTCCACAAGACCTTGTTTTTCGCCGTCCAACGTCGTTGCTATCTCCGTTGAAGGTATACCTGTTTCTGCATTGGTCGATACTGGCGCCGCAGTGTCTGTAATGACTGAAAAACTTTGCCGTCGACTAAAAAAAGTCACAATGCCTCTACACGACTTCGTTTTGAGCACTGCGAGCGAGCAACGAATTCGCCCTTTTGCTGCATGCACAGCACGTGTCGCTATTGCTGACGATATTTATGCCGTCGAGTTTGTAGTGCTCCCGCAGTGTTCCCATGACATTATATTAGGCTGGGGCTTTCTCTGCACTCATCATGCCGTCATCGACTGTGCTCGCGCCGAAGTGGAGTTCGCGCCGTTATGGGACGCTGCTTCACTCGACTCGTCCATTTCACCTGCAAAAGTTTTCGTTGCCACCGACACTTCGATAGCCCCGTTTTCATCCGCCCTAGTTCCGCTTTCCTGTGACGTCTCTAGTGGCTCAACTGTTCTTTTTACACCTTCTGAAACTGCTGCTCGCCGCAAGTGCTTCCTGATTACTTTCGCCGTTCTGAATGTTCACGATGCATCAAGTGCAATTTATGTTTCAAATCTGTTTCCCTCGCCTTCCAAGTTACTGTGCGGAAAGTGCTTGGGCTTTGCCGATGACATTGATCCCTCGAGTGCACGTGTAGTTCCTGACCCCTCGACTACGCTACCTATTGACGCTGTTGATTGCTGCACGTCATCCTCTTCCCCATCATTCACCGACGCAATTTCGCACTGCATCGACACCAACCTTTCGGCCCAACAGCGCACCGACATCATCGCCCTCCTCGAGCGCTTCCGCGCCAGCTTCGACCACCAGCAACTGACTTTGGGCCGTGCTTCCACAGTATCTCACGAAATCGACACTGGCTTCACGCTCCTTTACGTCAGCGTCCGTATCGGGTATCGGCATCTGAGCGTCGCATAATCGCGGAACAAGTTGACATGTTGAAGCGAGGTGTTATTGAGCCCTCTAACAGCCCGTGGGCATCCCCAGTTGTTCTAGTCAAGAAAAAGGATGGCTCAGTAAGATTCTGCGTTGACTACCGCCGGTTGAATAAGATCACGCGCAAAGATGTTTACCCGCTACCTCGCATAGACGATGCCCTTGACTGCTTACAAGGCGCGAAGTTCTTCTCGTCACTAGATCTGCATTCAGGTTATTGGCAGGTTCCCATGGCTGAGGCTGATCGCCCCAAGACGGATTTTGTTACCCCTGATAGCTTATACGAATTTAACATCATGCCATTCGGGCTCTGAAATGCGCCTGCCACTTTCGAGCGCATGATCGACAACATCCTCCGTGCCCTGAAATGGCAGACATGTCTGTGTTATTTAGACGATGTCGTGATATTTTCAAGCGACTTTTCAACGCATCTTCAGCGACTCAAGACAGTGCTTACTTGGCTCACCTCCGCCGGTCTACAGCTCAACTTGAAGAAGTGCTGCTTTGGCGCTCGCAAACTCCTATTTTGGGCCATGTTGTATCTAGAGATGGCATTCTTCCGGATCCGACGAAACTCCGTGTCGTTGCCGAATTTCCCAAGCCGAAGACCTTAAAAGAACTTCGCAGCTTCCTCGGTATATGTTCATATTTTCATCGTTTTATTCGCAACTTCGCCTCCATCATATCGCCCTTGACTGACCTTCTTGCCGGCAACAACGACCTTTCTAGTTGGTCGTCAGCTGGTGATGATGCATTTGCCACACTCCCCCACCTTCTTACGTCACCTCCTATACTGCGACATTTTGATCCTCTTGCCCCGACGGAAATACACACGGATGCTAGCGGAGTTGGCCTCGGTGCTGTGCTCGCCCAGCGTAAACCTGGATTCGATGAGTACATCATCTCTTACGCCAGCCGGGCACTCACAAAAGCAGAAGCCAACTATTCAGTCTCCGAAAAAGAGTGTCTAGCCATCATATGGGCCATAGGCAAGTTTCGACCCTATCTTTACGGGCGCCCATTCAGCGTGGTTACAGATCATCACGCATTATGTTGGCTCTCCTCGTTAAAAGATCCACCAGCCGGCTCGCCCGTTGGGCGCTTCGGCTACAAGAGTACGACATTCACGTCGTTTACCGATCTGGCCGAAAACATTCGGACGCAGACACTTTGTCGCGATCACCTCTACGATGTAGTGACAATTCGCCGTCTTCGCCTGCCCCTGATGTATCTGCACTTAGTGTCAGCGACATGCTACAGGAGCAACGAAAAGATCCTTGGATCGTTTCACTTATGAACTTGTTGAGTCGAGCTCCCTCGCAAAATATCCCTAGAGGTATGCGCCGTCAAATACACCACTTCGTTATCAGAGATGGTTTGCTATACAGACGGAATTATCTCTCCGAAAGGATGCCAATGGCTCCTAGTCATTCCTGTCGTCTCCGCTCAGACATATGCGCCTCCTTTCACGCCGACCCACAATGCGCCCATGCTGGAGTGTTTAAAAACCTACACCCGCCTGTACCACAACTACTACTGGCGTGGAATGTATCGCTTCGTTCGTCGCTACATACGTTCCTGTCTCGCTTGTCAACCCTGGAAGAATCCCACTCCAAGTTCTCCAGCTCCCCTACAACCCTTACCTTGTCCTGCCCGACAGTTTGACCGTGTTGGTATCGAAGTGTATGGACTTCTTCCGATTACACCGGCTGGAAATCGCTGGGTAATCGTCGCTATCGATCACCTTACACGCTATGCAGAAACTTCACAACTCTCTTTTGCGTCAGCCAGTGACCGTCGGTCGTTTCATATTGCATCAGATCATTTTACGTCACGGTGCACCACACGAACTCCTGAGCGACCGAGGGCGTGTTTTTGTCGGACGCCGTCGAATCGCTTTTCAAGGAATGCCAAGTCATTCATCACACCACCACCGCATATCATCCTCAAACTAATGGCATTACAGAACGATTCAACCGTACATTATGAGATATGCTGTCAATGTACGTCGCAACCGATCACACCAACTGGGACAGTATTCTTCCCTTTTGTAACATACGCACATAATACTGCTGTCCAGACAACCACTGATTTCTCTCTATACTTCCTCCTTTATGGTCGCGAGTCCTCTTGCACGCTAGACACCATCCTTCCTTACCACTCGGATGTTGCTGAGTCGACGACGATGTCACAAGCTGCTAAATACGCGAAAGAGTGTCGTCAGCTTGCCCGCTCCTTCACAAGTGCTGAACAGCAACGCCAGAAACACCACCGCGATAGCCCGACGCCTCCGGCTTCTTCTGCATCAGATGACCTTGTCTGGCTTCGCATCCCTTCAACCAGCCCTGGTCTCTCAACGAAACTGATGTACAAGTATGACGGACCGTATTGTGTGTTTAAACAAAATTCACCTGTCAATCACATCGTGGAGCTGCTTGAGCAGCTCATGATCAACGACGCCGTGGACGTGAGACCGCCCACATAGACTGCCTAAAACCGTATTACGATCCCTCTTTTGTCTCCTGCCCATGAGTCGCCAGGATGGCTCTTTTCCGGAGGGGAGGAAAATGTAGTGAAGAAGATGAGTGCTACTCAGAAAGGCAGGGGGTATGGCTCAGTCGGTGAACACGACGACGTTTGGTTAGCTGGGTACTCAGACTGGTTCCGCCATTACCACTTGACGTGTCGTGACCGCTCTCCTGTTCTATAAAAGAGTGCCACTCTAAAATGCCTCATTAAAATTATATATATATAGATATATATATATATATATATATATATATATATATATATATATATATATATATATATAAAACATCAAATTATGGCGCGGCAGCGGCGTGCCTGCTCTGAAAACTTCTGCAGCGGCGCCAAGCGGCGCGAGGAATCCAGGCGGCGGCGGCGCAGCAGCGCACAGCTGTAATTGACAGTGGAGCAAAAGCTGCAGAGGCTGGACTTTAGCAGATTCGTGTTGATGCACAAGTAGTACAGCAGCTGGCGGCTAATTTTGGTTTTAATTGCTCACATCATTATTGCATTTAGAAAATTGTATACAAAAGAAAACATCTAGAAGGTTTAGAGTACATCTTAGAGCCATATTATGAATATTACTTTTCTTGGAGAACTAAAAAGCGTGTCTGCAGCCGCACATTTACCCATGGACGCCATATTTACTTTTAAAATCCGGCATAATAAAGTCATCTGCAATAGCAGCGCTGCTGAAGCATAGCCTCCACAATTTACTCCGGGAACAGCTTGCAGCTGCAGTTGGTCACAGCGGCACGGTTAAGATACGAAAGATGCTTATTCTCATTGCACCCGGCTGTTAGACGTGACAGATGATGTACTTCAGCTGCAGAAAGATTGTCGCCTTTATACCTAACTTAAGTCTCTGGTATATAAACAGCGCTCTCTGTGTTAATTTGGATCAGTGAGTAGCTTGCAACCTTTTGTTATAGTGAGCCAAGAGAATTGCATATGTCATAGTCCCAATAAGTCTGTTTCTACGCCCACACTTTAGATGTGTTCACGTGAATGGAGCAAAGGCAAGCTTTCTTTTCGTATACACTGTAACCTCGATATAATGAACCCAGACATAACGATACATCGGCTATAATGAAGTAAATAAAGAGTCTTGCAATAGATATAGTTTAAGTATATACCTTTATAACAAACTTTTTTATCTAACGAACTTATTTTTGTGTAAGATGCAACTTTGTTATAATGAGGCGTGAGTGTATTATAAAGCTCCAGCTGGAAGAACCATGGGAAGAATTACAATTTTATTGGCAATAACATCAGTCCCTCTTAATTACCAAGTTTTAAAACATTGTAGGCTTTCCTTAGTAGGTAAACAAAACAAAGCGAAATGCAGCTCGCCACTCGCAGGGTACCTGTTTTCTCATGTCGATGATGTCCTGCTTGCGGATGAACCCATTCTCGGGGATGGTGAAGTTAGCAAGCTTGCACAGTACTGCAACATCAGGGTTCTGAGCGTTGCAGGCGAGTCTGACTGCCCTCTGTACCAATGAAGTTCTGTAGCTGCAAATGAATATAGAAAAAATGAGAACTGTATTCAGTGTCTCAAATATAATCAATGCAAACACTACGTTTTCAGCATTCCCCTTAGAGTGCATAGAAGTGAAAAGATCACGCACAGAAATATCACAGTATATTCTCTTGTAAACTTTGTTTACTATGACTTTTTATTGAATATGTAGACATTCACAACACGAAATAATCGAATTCGGCTCTTGTTAGTGGCAAGTTGTTACTTTATCAATTTTTACTTTCGGTTTCATAATTTTTATATGGACATACTATTCCTTTCTATTTCCCCCAGCCATCTTAATCAGCAAACTGAATGGGAACATAATCGCAAGTGGCACCACACGCATGCGCAAGGTGTCAGCGCTGCAGATATGTCAACCAATCAACTTTAGTATAAGCGTTAAACCTGAAAGATGGGAGGACTTCTACTCTGGGCTTCCTAATACGAAAGCTTGGCGCCCTAACCGCTACACCGCAAGTGCATTACTCTCAGGCTGGACAGAATACCTCGAAGAATGAACCACATGCAAGCACTTCATGACAATTGCATAGCTGCTTCAAAATAAAACGACCATCGCACATCTAGAGTCACAGGTGACACATCCAAGTACGAAAAAAATACAACATAGTAAAGCATACATACGTTGAGTTTGTCCGCACACAGCACTCCAAAACGAGTGCCATGCAATTCTGGACACTCTCCTCCGTCTCCCACGAATTGTATTGTTCGCTCCAGCCTTTCCATTTAATAAGAAACCATGTCTTTCCCTGGAAAGTGAAGAAAATGCGTGAGTGAACTAGCTTCTAGCAAGACTGCCAGCAGCAAGGCAGCCCTGGCTTTATTTGAGAAAACCGCTTTTGACACTTTTAACACAAAAGTGTTTTACGGCAGGATCCACCACAGTTCCTCTGACGTATTTCTCTTACGTATGTGACGTTGTAAAGAAATGGTAAAGAAAAAAAACCTAGAAGAGAAAGTTCTATCGCTGGGAGTCGAATCTCACGCTCAATAGTGTGCAGTGTGAACCGATTCGGCCACAAAGTGAACGTTCTTGAGCTCTTTAACAGCAGGCTACTTATACGCACCATTTGCCGCTAGTGATACGCCTGTAAATTGGGATGCGTGCGCGCTTTAATAGGGCATGGTGGCCTATGCGCCATGCTTACCTAGTGACGGGGGCAGTTTGTTCGTCTTTCGCTTTCGCCACAAGTATGCGTTGAAGTCGGAATACGAAGGTCACTACACTCACAGAAGCCACCACCCTTGCGAGAGGAGCGCGCTGCTCACACGCAAGTAACAACTCTGGCAGTTGGGCAGTTATTAGTTCACGCTTGTCTTGTGTATACTTGTGCATTCATTCCGTGCACCCTTCTTTTGTGTTTGAGCAGAGCACTTGAATTGTTGAGTCGTGACAGTTGCTGGTTCGCGCTCGTCCTATGTCCGTTCTTTTTCGTGCACCCTTTCCGCCTGAGGTATGTGTTGCAAGTTTTGAGCAGCCTGTAGTTCTTCGCTGACATTACAATATGTTGATGCAGCATTCGTTCCTTCGACCTTGTGGCGAAATAACAAACAATAAATGCAACTACCCCTGTAAGAGAAGTTTCACTGCCATGTTACACCGATTGCTATGACAGAGGAATCAGTCATGTCTTTTCCCACATTATCCTCTTACTGGCTTGTTACAATACTCCATTGTTCTTGGAATTTGACACAAGGAAATTCATTTAGTTATATTCAGACCAAATTTTCAAACACGAATTCATATTACCTCGCCCTGCTATCACTTTTACTGCAACCTTTTCCTTCTGAGTTTCAACAGCACTGCATGAGCACACAAAAACTGCTAGCAAGGGCAACAATGCAGAGCAAGGTAGTGAAATCACTAAGGCAGCATTCGCACAAAAAGCAGCGGTAATGCAGAAGCTGTGTGCAAGACTGTGCACAGCTTGTTGGAAGCTTATAATATTATGACTTTGGTAAGTGTGAAAGGCAACAATGCAGTGTGGAATTCTCTAAACATTAGAAGCTCGTCGGATTTTGAGAAGAGAACAGCAGTGTTCCTGCAATGCTTCTAAAGAACCCCACTGTAACCCGAAAAAGGCTTAGAAGTTGGCTAGGACTACCATTTCTGGCAGGGTTAGTTGGCTTATATTTATTACGGCAACTTGCCTAGCTTCAGAATACTGTGAGAAAATGCATGTACCAAGTGGATACCTGCTTTGAATTCTTCGACAATCAGGATACTTCTAAGGAAATGGCCATAAAGCTTTTTTGAAGAGGCCTTAGATACCCCAGCGAGAAGTGACTGTTGGCATTGGCGTCAACACGAGCGATGCAAACAATAGTCATCACATTATGATGTTGCCAGAAGTTGTGACACCATCATGACATCACAATGTCGCGTAACCACGTCGCATTGTTGCCTGGTCGATGGTGGGGAAATTCCAAAGATGCTACAAGACCACATGAAGTGCAGAAGGCTTCGAATGCCTCCGGTCTCAGAGCAGATCAAAACCACATTATGGGTGCAGAGCCTTTGGGAGTAGAAATCAATACAATAGACTGAGAAAAAATAAAATATGGCTTTCGTTTTCCAGCTGTCATAGACAAATGCATAGGGGACTATGTGACTTTTGTGAGCAGACTTTGCTCAAAATCCTACATTTGTAATATTGTAGACCAAATACGAATTTGCACATGTTGGAAAATTTTTGAATTTATGTTTAGAAGGAATTTTGTGTCTAACTTGACTAAGTGTTTCCCTTTCAGATTTCCTTTCAGAGTGTCTCGTACCAATATATGTCATTTAGTTTAAGTGAAGTTTATGTCTCATGAAATGCAGCAGTTCCAGATCTTTGAGAAAATTGAAGGCTTCACTTACTTTTTCTCTCTTGATGTCCAAAACTGTTTCGACCTCAAACTCTGAAGAAAAAAAATGATAAATTATCAAAACGTGCTAAAGTTGTCAAACAATCACGCAAAACTAAAAAACCTCTCTCTGCCTTCTTAATTTTCAATCATATAGCAATCTTCATCAATAAATTCCAGCTATCTTACAATGCTTCCAACACAATTGTGTAATAAAAAAAGAAAGCCAAAAGCTTCGTGGCACTGATTTCGCAAACCCCATTAGTGCAAAAAGCAGGGATGCCGCTTCCAATTCTCAGAACTATAGAATCTTGTTCATCCCATACAAAGGACATAAATGTTCTTGCCCTGCTTCTACAGAACTCCAGTGTGCTATGAAGAGCTACTGGACAAGGCTCAGAGCTCGCATACAATTACTCCTTGTAAAAATTGTACGTTTACATCGTACTGAAAATATTTGTGAGAGTCAAAAGAGGTAGGTTGAGGACTAACAGATGAATACTTGTTTTAGCTGCTGACTAGTTTCTTCCTCAGTCTTCAGCCTTATATTGTGCAAATCTTTTCCGCGTAAGACTCAATGGCTCGTTCGCAACCTGAAGAAGCATGCAGACACATGCTTCCAATAGAGCCATCTGTCAGCAAGTGGGCCATGCAGAACATGCCCGTTTATAGAGCCCTCGACGAGGTGCTATTCATAACTTCATTCATGGTGAACTTTTGGAAGACTATTTCACAAGCCCACAAACATTTAAAACTGTCAGTGTGATGCTATAAGACTACCAATAGAGCAAACGATGAGCGTGCCACAGCACAAGCATTGTGCGTGTCAAATTCGATCAGTCCTGTGGGATGCAACACATAAGGAACTCCATAAAAAAATCATTCGCATGCCATGCAGGTAAGTTCACTTGATTGTGCCTCAGAGTCATGCCGTACTCGTTACGTACCGCACACATCTTCATACCACGCGATTGTCTCTCTGATCTTTGATACATCTGCTTCTATCGTTACGCTGCACTGTGGCCTCTGGACTATATTGTTGCCAAGCAGTGTCAATAAAATGTTATATTCTCGAAGGTGTGAATGTCTGCATACTAATTAGGGCTACTTTGTAAATGTCTCGGTAAGCGTGATTGTGACTCTGGTGGTTTGTGTAAACATTAATGTCAAACAGCTAAACAGCATAAAAAAAAAAGAGTTGCCGTTACTGGAACGACAAATTGGTGTAGTGTGGCCAGGCACACATTAGCAAAGGTCAATGACCGTTTCCTTTGTAAACAGTATGCAAGTTTTGATTACAAGTCCGAAGGCCAATGATAGAATGCTTGAAACTAGACCACCAATATTTTCACTCGGGTTAATAAACTAGCTGACACTTCTCATCGCATATTCTCACTCAAAAGGTCTTTTGTGACTGCTTCAACAGGTGTGCATATAAAATGTGCTTTCGCTAGTATTTGTTTCATGCTGCATTTCGGCGGAACGAAAAAAAAAAAAGAAAGAAAGACACCGGCGCAGCACGGCGATGTGCGGTGCTTACAGCATCACGAAATAGAAAACAAAACAAATTAGCAGGGGGGCATGGTAAGGGGTTAAAACGTTACGCGACCAGGCGCCAGCGGCACCTGTCGCACGTGCAGGACTTGAATCTCGGCGGCCCGCACGATATCGCCGCGCGTGCATTCAATCGGGCGAAAAAAAAAAAAAAAAGACTGCGATTATTCGTGCGATTACACTGACACGACATTTCGCGCCTTCTCACCTTGTGCGGGCGCCCAATGCCTGGTGGCCTCAACAATTTCCTGGTCTGTTAGACGTCTCACAAGTACGCAAGGCAAACCTCGGTCTTCGGCACCTGAGTGGTGGTGGCAAATACAAAGTTCCAGCAACCACTTTACAACCGCCGAGCGAGACACTTACTTGCTCGATCGGCCAAATAACAGGTGACATAAACAAACGGTCAATCAAGCGCTGTTAGCCATATTACGAGCAATGACTTTCAGGCGCGGTCGCCTGGGCGGCAAATCGGGTTTCAGAAAACCAATGCCACGCATAATTCAGTTTGAAAAGGAAATAACATCCAGAAGCGCTTACCGGCCTCGCCTGCGACGTCACCGTTGGGTACGCGCGGTATGAGCCCATTTACGTTTCCGTTCAATAAAGGCGCCAAAGCAACGCTTCGGCGACTGCCGGACTTGTGCGGCGAGCTCATCACCGAGATTCTCAGTTTTTTTAAAATGTGGGCACTTCGAAATAAACCGAATTAACGAGGCGATCTCGCTGCACTAAGGCTACATAAAAGCCCGCTCGAAAAAAGAACCTCTAAGCCGCTAACAATCGGCTCGACCACGGCCATAGCCTCCTAGATTTTCTTTGCCTGCCGGATGAGCGCGAAAGGCCCGTCATCTATAACGGCGCTACCTACGTAGGAATGAGAATCTTTGTACTTGGCCTTTCTAGATTGGCAATTTTGCTGTTTGCTACTAATTTTAAGGGCTATGCCTCGTATTGAAGAAGTTGCATGCTAAATGACAGGCATCACTTACGTATGGTTAATTATAATTACGTTTACGCTTTTTGAAAACTTTCTCACGTTACTTTTGTTGCATATAGGTTTCAAGAACGTAAAAATTATTTGAAAACAGTCCTACTTAGGTGGCGCAACCACCATAATTCTGACGACTGCCGTTTTTTAAGTGACCGCCGATAATCCGCCAGGCAAAAGAAATCTAGGAGGCAATGCTACAGCCTACTGTACTCCTGACCTGCCCAAGTAGCAGCATGGTTGCAGCACAGGTTGCAGGGTTCCTATGGCAGCGCGTGTCCCTTCTCTCGTTCAACCGCTCACCGCTAGTAGCGCTACCTATAACTTATTTGTCTGCTACTTTACGGTTGTTTTGTAGGCGCTGGAGTAAGAATGCTTGTATTTTGTGGTGAACTGCCGGCATATATGCGGCTATTTTTTCATTTAGATGGCTAGTCAAGTAAGCTGTTCAGTGCACTTAAGTATTTATTGCACACTGGTTGACAAACGTGGGCCCCGTAGACTTACATGGTGTAGGACAGCCTTTGTGATGTCGCGTCCATTCGATTGCAAAAAAAAAAAAAAAAAAAATTGATTTACTTTAGGTACACTTGTTTCTGAACTATTTATTTTTTGTGTATAATAATTTTGCACTATGAGTGCTTTGTTGGTCAAATAATGACCACAAACGCCCAAACTGACGTCAGCGAACAGGTATTGACTAGCGCTAAGCTGCTCGTAGGTTACTGTCCTAGCGGCAGAGGGTATAAACTAGAATGAGGGTTCTGGAGAAGGGCTTTCTAGGCGGGTCAGGAGCAAGGAGGAGAGTAGGCCGTGAGCTAGACGTACAGTCACGTATTGCACATTGTACCGCATGAGAAGCCAGCTAGAAGTCGTTAAAGGGGCACTAAAGTCATATAAAAATTTACGTCAGAGTGAAAGTTCAATGTATGACAACATTCAAAACAATATTAACAACAACAGTGTCCTACTTACCAAAAAAAAAAAGTAAATGCACAATAGCCTAGGCACTGCAGCAGGACATTTTCAAAATGATCCCGATGACATCAGAAGGACCGCCTACAATTAGTAACTAGTAATCGATCTAACTCCACTAAATAAAGAACTTTTCGTACATCAGTAGACGTAATAAAATGCTGCCTGTTCGTTTCTTTTTTATTCATGGAAAAAGAACCGCCGGACGTTACTATGGGGAATGGCTCGAGTGGTTCAAAAATTCAAGTTTCGCGTGGTTACACGGGACAGGTGGCGTCATCTAGTGGGGCACAGTTGAAACAAAACTCATCTGCAATCTCGAAGCCAATGGCGGGAAATTGATCTATGGCCGTTGTTGCTGCTGTGGCCCCTGCTGCTTTCGGTCTGCCGCTACTAGCGCAGTAAAGCCGGGTAACGTTGCGCACAACAGTGACGTGAATCGGTCCGGTTCCCGGTTGGTCTGCTTCTTGAAGCGAACAATTTGAAGTGCGCTAACCCGATGCGGACCAACAACGTGTTTTTATTTCAAAATAGACCCTTCTTCGGCACAAAAGTAACACAACGAAGTTTCTGGGCTGCTATTTCCACAATTAACGTCAACCTAATAGTTGCCTTTAGTGTCCATTTAAAAAAATGCTATGTTTGAAAAGGCACGATGGTTGATCAAGTGTGGAGTTGATTAGGTACACTGTCGGTTGGTGCTGCTCTTGTACCTGTACTCAAACTCTTGAAACAGCAGGCCTCATTAACGTATTACGTAAAGCACTCTTCCAGTCTCGCATATTAGACAAGGTCTACTTAAATAGGTCGCAAAGGCTCGGGCGAAAAGTGATTTAGAAGTTTTGCCAGTGACATCAGCCAGCGCCTCATTTATTTAGATGCCTGCCGCATGGGGATGAAAACAGCTGCCGCACCCTGGCCACATTCTTTTCTTTTTTCATTTTCAAATGAATGGATAGATTGGCTATTTGATATGGCTGTACCCTTTAGATCAGGCGGTGGCTAACGCCGCCAAGCCGTAATACTTAGTGAACCAAAAACTAGGTTTATTTATTTTTCCTTTAAATAGTGAGGTTGAGGACTCGTACTTTGCAGTGAAGGGTTCAATTTTCACTCGTGCCTTGACTTTAGCCACCAATCAGATAACCTCCTTCTAGTTAATTCTATTCGCTTAAAGTCTATAGTTCGCCCTCCCTGTCCCGAAACCCCAGTGCTTTGAAAAACTCTGCGCCATCATCCTGAACTATAGCGTGAAGCCCTCTACAGAACATTATCAAGTGTTCGGCAGTTTTCTCTTCCTCTCTACACGCACTGCATACCGTGTCTACCTCTTCGTATTTGGCCCGATATGTCTTGGTTCGCAATACCCCGGTCCTGGCCTCAAACATTAGAACTACCCCGAGTATTGTCATAGATCCTTTCCTTGGCAATTTCCTGCTTGAAAGTTTGATAGATCTCTAGTGCGGACTTCTTAATCATGCCAATTCTCAGCTTCCTTCACCTTCTTCTTAACCGATAATTCTTTTTTTTTTTTTCTGGTTCGCTTCCTCCAGTTTGTATCGACATTCTTCATGTACAAGTTAATGAGCTAATATACATACTCTGTATACAGAGTCTGTATATTAACTTTATGGCATAAATTATTGTACGAAACTTTATGCTCTATGGTTTCATACAATAGTTGTATAAAACCAACGTTGTATAAAACCATAGTCCCTCAATAAAACTCTATGGGAGCTGACTTCTACCTACACACGTATAGCCAAACCAAGCCAATCTATGCATGCGTTGATCTTCGCAAGAAGGGACACACTGGTAGGTGTTCTGTGGGGACACTCGCAAGGTCGGTTCAAAGGTGCTCTCAAATTAAACCGACTGAAACGCTGGTGACGCTTACCACATGAATTTTCTCAAGCGACGATGCATTTGATGTTTCAGGTCCGTGTTTGAGCTAAAACCACCACCATGCTGATCCGCACGCCGTTCACTGATCTGGTGTCCGTCCTCACGGAAGCAGAAAGCAACCGCAACTGCCAGAAGCTGTCCATGCAGCTAGCTCTCTGCCGGGAAGCCTACGGCATGCACAGGCCCGAAAAGTGCGAAAACGAATACGAGGACTTCAAGGAGTGCATCTTTGGCTTCAAGCAGGCGAGTGTACCGGCATTCGTTGCTGGTTTTTTCTTTGCCTTGCAGGAGGAACGCATGTGCGTGAAATACGGTCGCGTATATCCAGACACTTGTGCCCATTGGAACCGACTCCGATAGTACCTCCGTCTGTGTTTCGGATCCTGAAGAAGTTCTGCCCGACACGAATTCACAGAACTCGAGAGAGTGCAAAATTAGTTGCTGTAGATAACTCCTACGCTGTCAAGCTTTCAACAAGATGGCCAGCATGGATACAGGTTAATGCTACGCAGTGTAGATCGATAAAAACAGCTTTTTTTGTCGTGCATTTAGATGGCCAGTAATCAAAGCAGTTAGCTGGGCTAGTTGACGTACCGAAGTTTGTTAAATTCCCAGTGCTTCAGAAGTGCCCAAATTTTGTTGCATGTTTCCATCACATGTGTATTTCTCTAAGACTGTGTGCATGAACATTAAATCCCACCGTATTCTAAATAGGGTTGGTTTTATAGCTTTATTTTAAAGCGTTTAGATATCCTGAAAATGGCTAAAAAAGTTTGATGGTATTGAGAACATTGCTTGTTCTTGACAGTTTTGAAACTTAGTGTTTCAGTTAGCTCTTTTTTAGGTCCCAAAGCGTGACTCAATATCGAAACTGCTTCAAACCTCGCTCCTGCTTGCGAATATTTCCAAATGTGGGAAGGTCCAGTTATATGTGCTGCATCTTAAATATCTTGCAGCGTGCACGAGTGATCATCATGCAGCAAGAGCGAGAGAAGCAGTTCAAAAATGGACAGCGGAAACAGCACTATGCCGAGATGCCACCAGTGGATGGCTTCGCCATGCGTGACCCATTCGAGTAATCCGTTCTTGTGATGTAGAAAATATATACTGGCTGAACTACTGTTGTCGAGTCACTTAACAATGTGTGGTGCACTTTGGGAGTTTAGGTGGCATTGTATCCGTATGTACAGCTGGATTCGTGCTGCTGAACACAGATACAATGAAGTTCACAGAATTTGTTTCGGAGGGCTACAGCATTCGTATGGCGGCCGATTACCAGAAAAGCTGTAGATGTCTTCCTGCTTCCTTTTTTTTCTTTTTTTTTTTCTGGCGTGAGTGACTGCAGTTGGCGACAAGTTTCCTGAAACTTAGGGTCTTCGATTGCATTCTCCTCTCTTGCAGAGTTCCTCTGTTGCTAGCTGTATATTTTGTGTCTCTGCTGCCTCCAGCGACGGTGCGCTGCACCTTCTCTGGTTTCTTCTGGTGTTCCGACATGTGAATCCCAGTTTTATCCGCCCCGCCATGGTGGTATAGTGGCTAAGGTGCTCGGCTGCATTTGCGATGGTGGCGAAAATGCTCTAGGCCCGGGTGCTCACATTTGGGCGCACGTTAAAGAACCCCTGGTGGTCAAAATTTCCGGAGCCCTTCACTGCTGCGTTTCTCATAATCATATGGTGGTTTTGGGATGTTAAACCCCACATATCAATCAATCAATCCACTTTTATGTGTACCATGTACGATGTCATACCCACACTACGACAAGAGCGCCGTTGCAATCGCCACACCTCCGATACATCTGCCACTATCGCGACCACTGCCGAACCGGCCCCTCTGACACACATGGTGCGCTCTTTCCTCTCTCCTATTCGTCTCAATTTCCACAGCACCACTCAGTAGATTTCACGACTTACGGTTGTCCCGTAAATGTCCTCTTTGCCAATTGGGTCCTGTCTGCGAACTTCTCTATTCCAATCTTTAGTTACCTATATCTTTTGATCCCTCCTTATTCCTTCCCTTGCGAACCAGTGGCTGAGGTGTCACAGTCTGCTTCAGACAGTTGCAGGGTTCACGTTTTTCTTCATTTCCTCTTTAAAAAATTACCCCCCCCCCCCCCCATTGCAACACTTACCCTCCCCCTGCCTATCTTCATACCTGTCGACGCACCATGTCCTTAATACGGACGTAAGCTCACTGGGTACGCTTCCTTCATGCAGGGGCTAGAGGTAAACTGCTCTGCTGGAATACCTGCAGCCACACAGCTTTGCTACAGGGATATTTACTTTTACTACTGCAGTGCTAGCCAATGGATAAGTCCTGCCACTGCTTTCAAGCGTTCAGAAATAAAGTAGAGCTGTGCGAATAGCAAAATTTCGGTGCGAAGCAAATTCAAATATTCCACTGTGAGTGCAAATTGGATAGAATATTTTTCGAAGCGAAATTGCAAAGGAAAAAAAGTTGCAGAGGTTTCAGACATATTCTGATGAGACAGCAACATGAAAGCGTTTCTTTTGACTCTGTTGACTAAGTGCTGGTGGGTTGGTGTTTCATAGCTATCTTATGAAGACAAGCTGAGGCAATACAGAGGCCGAATAGTGTTCATGTGCATGATTTGGTGAAACTAAAGTGATGCCAACATCACTTTACACACGAGTGGCCTAGATGCAATATTTCAGCCTTGTCTCCTTTTTCAACTTCAGTGGAAGCGCAACTGATCTAACAAGACAAAAGTACGCTCCCCTCAAGTTTGGAGTTCATGATCTGCCTTATAGACGTGTATATTTGAGAGAATATGAAATTTTTTAGCTAGAAACTTTCGGCTTTGCTGTAATATGAGAGTTTGGTGGGGTGGAGCATATTGAAAGTCTGAAGGGGCCACTGCAAATATGACGCCGACTGTATTTGTCTTTGGGAAGTGCGAATAGTGAAATTCCAGTGTAAACTGAATAGCAAACCCTATCCAAAAAATTTTGAGATTTGGAATAATCGGGCACATCTAAAATAGTCTAAGGAATTCAGGTGTTTCCACATGGTCAACAGCCAATACATTCTGTATAGCCGGGACAGCAGTTTTCAGTGATGTGCAACTTTGGTTTCGAGAGCGAAGTCTCTCGGAGCATAAAGGTTTCAAATGAACATCAATTCAAGGGAGGCATGTCAGAGTTTGACAGCTTTCAATCACTCCAAGGTACTGTTCGTGCTTCTGTCATTTGAACATGCTGAAAGAAATAGGGGCTCTAACATGCATGTGTGTTCTATCCTTAGGTCGGCACTTTGAGGGACTACTCATTCTCACCACAATTTTTTCAGCCTTTGCACTCACTTAGGTTCATACTCATGTCTATTCGCACTCATAGGCCCTCACTCACATTCGTACTCACTCCTACTTACACTTGGAGTACTCACTCACGTTCATACTCTCTTCTCACACTCGTGAATACTCACTCAAGTTCATAGTCACGGATACTCACACTGATGAGTACTCACTCACGTTCAAACCAGAGGCGGATCCAGCCACTGATTTTAGGGGGAGGGGTCGCCTAAAGTAACACTAGAGAGGAGGTCGTGTCTTGACTTTTTTTTTGTTTTTACTAGGAAAAAACCCCTTCGCAGCATAAATACTGTTAATGTGTGCTCCAAGTGGCTTCACTCATTCGTCCTAATTGGTAATAGGAGGTGGGCGGCCAGCACTGGATTGAAGGGGAGAAGGGCGCTGACAGAGTTTGGCGGGGGGGATGATCGACCCTACCACTCCCCCATCTTAATCCGTCATTGGTTCAAACTCACTTCTACTCACACTCATGAGTACTCACTCACGTTCATACTCACACTGAAAGTACTCACACACGTTCTACTCACACTCATCAGTACTTACTCATATTCACACTCACCACGTTCAAATGAGTATGAGTGAGTGAGTGTACTCATGAGTGAGTACGCCGAGCTATGGTTCTATCAACAGTACTGAAAGTTGGGCGAGTTGGTACTCATTCATGACTTCTTTGCGCAAACACGTACACGGACACAAGGAAAAGAGGCAAACAACACGGGCGCAAACTCACAACTAGTTTATTTTGAACAACGAACTGTACTTATATCTTCACGTAGCCCACACACCCCCCCATCGGTGGATCCAGGAACAAACGAGATAACTTAAAGAAAGCTTATTCAGCGCTCCGTCATGATAAGAACCACAAAACAACAAAAAATTGAGTTCACGCATCTGCAGACGGATTGTTGCACGTGCCTTTCAAAAAGTCAAATTCTTTATCGGACATGGTGACGGAAGCTTGGCCAACACATTTTTCTCCCATGTTTCTAATATGAAATGCTTCAATCAACTCCCTGTTAATTTTTCTCTTGTGAGTTGACAGAATCTTTGTGTCTGTAAAAATTGGTACGCACCCACAAGACTTGCAGTGATCCACCAGATGTGTTCGTCCTGAACTACGTAATGCCGAGTCGTGCTCCCTCAACCATGTGTACACACCTTCCAGTTTGCCCGACATAAGATCTGCCACAGCTGAACGGAACCTGGTATACCACTGCTGTTCTGCAAGACCGGTATTGTTGGCTGTGTTTCATCTGGCAGCTGTTCTTACTCTGCGTAGTGCCGGACTCCACCATGTTCCGAAGTCGTGGACACAACTTTGACAGCTTGTTGGGTGCTGTAAAAACCGAGGTTACTCCGTATCTCACTGCTACGTTCTTCAAGCCATGGGACAACCTATGAACATATGGGAGAACTGCAAGCTTTCTTTTAGGGGCGAAGCTCCTTAGGGCGTGGGCTGTGCGTCCCCTGTATGTAGCCACCTCTAGTTTAGTTCTTGCAGTGTTCACTAGATGGCGGTACCGTCCCCTGTATGTAGCCACCTCTAGTTTAGTTCTTGCAGTGTTCACTAGATGGCGGTACCGTCTCCTGTATGTAGCCACCTCTCGTTTAGTTCTTGTAGTGTTTACTAGTTGGTGGTACTTGTAGCCGATGATGAAAAGATGCAAGATGTTATAAACTAGAAAGCGGTACTTGTAGTTGATGAAAGACGCGAGATCTTATAAAATAGGAATGATGTCACATATGGCGCGTGTCATTGGTTGAAGGCAATCGTTCGATTTAGTGCGGTGACGTACGCTAGGGGGAGCGATGTAATAAAATCGAGTGGGCAAAATGTACAGAGGATTCATGGTTTACCAGGTTTACCTCCGGAGCTTCGCCCACTCATCATCATTCACTTTGTGGATATGGCGGCACTTTTTTTTCACTTTGTATTCTTCTGGGACTTCTTTCCGTACCTTTTATCACTGGGATGAGTTTTTTGCAAATAGTGTTCAGCAAATGGCGGGGATACCCAGCTGCCCTGAGCCTGCTTAGCTGGTCCTGAAAGCTGGAAGCAATCTCGTGCACACATGACCGAAGCAACGAAGATCTAAAGCATGAGGATGCTATCGCATTTTTTATTACTTTTGAGTGACTAGATGCAAAATTTAGCAGTGGTTTTTTGGCTCGTGGACTATACCGCCAACACACATGATCTGCCTTGAAGAGCAACTTGATGTCCAGAATTCCTGTGGGCTGAAGTTCACAATAGATTGATTGATTGATTTGTGGGGTTTAACGTCCCAAAACCACCATATGATTATGAGAGACGCCGTAGTGGAGGGCTCCGGAAATTTTGACCACCTGGGGTTCTTTAACGTGCACCCAAATCTGAGCACACGGGCCTCGACATTTCCGCCTCCATCGGAAATGCAGCCGCCGCAGCCGGGATTTGAACCCGCGACCTGCGGGCCAGCAGCCGAGTACCTTAGCCACTAGACGAAGTTCACAATAGAGTTTGTACAAGACAAGTCTCTACAGTTTCTGGACATCAAGTTGCTCTTCAAGGCAGATCATGTGTGTTGGCGGTATAGTCCACGAGCCAAAAAACCACTGCTAAATTTTGCATCTAGTCACTCAAAAGTAATAAAAAATGCGATAGCATCCTCATGCTTTAGATCTTCGTTGCTTCGGTCATGTGTGCACGAGATTGCTTCCAGCTTTCAGGACCAGCTAAGCAGGCTCAGGGCAGCTGGGTATCCCCGCCATTTGCTGAACACTATTTGCAAAAAACTCATCCCAGTGATAAAAGGTACGGAAA